CGTTTAAGAGCCCAGAGCACAACCCAAGTACGGGGGACTCAAACGGATCAGGTGTAGTGTAAAAACTGTACTGTGGTTGACACCCAAACGGTTTGTGTTCCGTTTTCTGAAACACGTGCCAGGGAAGCACGCATCCAAGTTCAAAGGAATAGTGGACCTACGGTCTGTCGAAGTGTGTTCCATAAATCACGTGGATTCAGAGAGCTGCTCAGAGATTCTTATCCGAGGTGCTAGCTAAAAATTCATGGCTTATTCCGATTGTTTGTGATCGTGACGTGGATATGTGCGCTGGAAAAGCACCGTCACATTATGATGACGCTTGTCTGTGCACCAACGATATGTCCAACCAGAATAACCAGCCAGCGGGATTGACAGGCGCTGAACCTGTGCCCCCAAATTGTTAGGGCGAGTTTGATCCGAAGAAGGTCACACGTAGAAATTTGAAGTTTGAGACAGTCACCCTGGCTCCAGCTAGCAACTACCGAAATGAGACTGCAACTGGCCATGGGGAGCATTTCGGATGACCCCTCGATTTCAGAAAAAAACGGATTTATGTACTCAAAAGATGAACCGCTGATCACGATAAACCTCGCTAAAGCCATTCTCACTGTGAATGATCGTGATACAGTGTTCTGGGTATCCCAATGAGCAAATGTATACGTGAGCTTCAGCCCAAAAAATATTATTGTCAATGGTTTGTTCAGGCCTTTTAGACTGACGTGTATTCTGGTCCAGAAGCTCTTTAGCGGAGATGATCCAATGTGTCTCCACAGGCTTGGTAGTTTTCTGTACATTCCCTGTCAGACTGACGCTACTACTTGATTAGTGGCACATGGTATCATTATCGGCAGGTTGCGGAACGAGCATGCGTGAAATAGACGTGGGTAGCTAAAGCTCCGACGAAGGAGAATGGCGTCATTGAATCATTGGGGGTTCGATGTGCCATGGCTGTCAGACAACACAGATTCACCCATGGAATCAAGCACAGCTTGCGAGAGCCACGTCAACGACTTCCTTCAACACGCGAATGCTCGCTGCATTCCGTCCGAGCAGCCCGAATCGGCTCCTTGGATCAATCTGTCTAGTCATGAACGTCCGATACCACCACATTCATCGGCGAGCCTTTTTGACATGGAGTCAATACACGATCTTCCGGATGATACTTATGGAGAGCCAAGGCGCGTTTCGCTGGATGATTCTTATGGTGATCTTATAAAGAGGATAAACTGGACGTTTGGTTCTGGAACGGATCGCTGCGACCCTCCCAGGAGTAACAGGATGACGGATTGGATGCTGAGCGCGCTGACGCCGAATCCCGTCGTGACATCTGGAATCGCGGAAAAGATGCAGGCGATGTCCACGTGGCAGGCCGCTCCGGGAATCTTGGATTTAGAATCGAAGATGCGGCAGGAGTGGGGGTACTGTTTGCCATCCACCAGGCCAGTCGCTCTCACCGACCTGTACCCTTCTCCGTGCATTATTACCGAATCCAACGACTACGCATACCTAGGAGCCAGTTTTGAGTCGTCTCAAAGCTCGCAGATAGAAGCCACGGATCGCGTGTTGGAATTCGGGAATCTCGGCTCGTGGAAGGGGAATCAGGCTCGGGAAGGATTGGGTGAGGGCGAAAGAGAGTGGATCAGCGGCCGGGATATGCCACCAGGGTCGAGGGACGATGGGATTGGACGAGGCGGCGCGTGGCTGCTCGCTGTGCAGACAGCGCAGATGATGTGGCGATGGCAGGAGGCGGGAGCAGCTGCAGCAAGGTGGGGTCTCTATGCTGGAATGATTCACACACTACCTGCTCCACGTCTGCCGTCACAAGATGCTGCAGTGGCATTGCAACACGCCTCGTATTCCACCTCACCTCTTTACTGCCATTGCTTAGCGCAATCGCTCTCATCCCTCCCGATTCCACTTCACTCCCCATCTTCTTCCCCTCCCTCTCTCCCGCGCATCCCCCCCTTCTTTCCGCCTGCCAGCACCCGCACGCCCTCGCCCTCGTGGCGGCGTGCGCGCTCTCAGGGGGCAGCCCGCCGCCCTGTACGTCCTCCACGCCTTCGCCCTCCGCGCCCGCACCGCTGCACCCTCTGCTCTCGCTGCTCCCACTGCTCCCACCAGCTCGCAGAAGAGAGATCCTGCAGCGGCAGCTGCAACAGCAAGAGTGGCGCAGGCGGTCGCGAGGCAGGGGATTGAACGGGCAGTGCTGGGGGAGGTAGTGGCGGATGGGCACGTGTGCCGCAGACTGCACTGCCTCGCTGCGAGGCTGCAGGCTGCTGCTCCTGCTGCTGGCGACGCAGCAGCTGCGGAATGGGGCGTGCCACGTGTGCCTGCTGACGTGGAATGCCAGCTGGCAAGTGTGCTGTGCCCGTTGGCTGCGTGCAGGATGGTGCAGCAGGCGGCAGATGCAGGCAGTGCAGGTGGTAACGCATGTGGCGACGCTGCTGGCGGTGTTGTTGGCAGCGATGGGGAGGAGGGTTCGGACTGGGATTCAGAGAGTGGGGAAGTGTGGATGGGGTGGACGGCGGGGAGGAGTGACGACGACGAGAGTGAAGGGGGCGAGGAAGGGGGAGAGCGTGCAGAGAGTGCATTGCTTAAGAGCAGCAGTCAACACCCCCTTCCCCCTCCTCAACACCCGCATGATCATGCCACTCCCAGGTCTCAGCGTGAAGAACCAAAGATAGAGGGTCTCGCAGTGGGAGCTGGAGGGGCCGGTGCAGAGGGAGATGACGCGGTTCTGAGGGGTTTTGGGAGGGCGCTATCGCTGGTTCTCGCTCAGTACGAGGCCGGGGTTGCCCAGCTCGCCCGTGCATGCATCGCCTCTCTTTCTGCCTCATCTCCAACAGCAGCAACAGATTGTTCCAGCCCTGCACGCTCACAAGCAGGCACTCCAGCCGGTCCGTCAGATGCTGTGCTTCTACTGGCCATGCGGAGCAGGCGACTGAGGGCGCAGCTGAGGCGCCTGGTGATGTTGCTGGGATGGATCCGAGAGCGAGGGAGACAGCAGGTGGTGAGAGGAAGGGGCACCCATGGGAGACGGGGCGCTAAGGGGGAGGGAGACAGCAGGGGGAAAGATGGAGGATGCATGGTCGGTGGTGTACCAGTGCCCTCAGATGGTCATGCCTAGCTCGTCAGATCAAAGCAGTTCAGGCATGAGAGACATGCCTCTCACTCCACCCCCTCCACACACGTCCCACACGCACCACATGCACTGCACGCCCCACACGCACCACGCAGACCGTGCTGTTGCTGCCAGCGGTGGCATTAGAGGCGTGCGCCCCACCACCACCCACAGCAGCCAAGCCGCCGCTCTCCTCTCTTACCTCCACACCATGCTCCACCTCGCAGCAGCTGATAGCAGCAGCGGCAGCACTGCCAGTGCATGTGGTTTGAGTCAGAAGCAGCCGCACCAGCAGCAGCAGCGGGAGCAGCAGCAGCAAACGGCAGCACCAGCAGCGGCGGCGGCAGCAGGGGCGGCAGGGAGGTGAAACTTCAATGGAGGTGGTGAGGTGGTTGTATGTGTCGTCGTGCTGGCCGCTGGTGTGCCAGCTGAGGAGCACCATGGCTCTGGGTGATCTCTCCTACCTGCATCCCTCCCTCGCTGCTGCTGCTGCTGCCACTGCTGCTACTGGGAGTGCTTCTGCTGCTGGGACTGCTAATCCTGCCACCAACGTCACCACCGCCACCACCGCCATCACTCGTACCCCTGCTACCTCTGCTGGACAGTTCACTCCTACTCGCATCGTCACTCCTCCCCGCATGGTTACCCCATCTCATCTGGTCACCCCATCCCATCTGGTTACCCCATCGCACTCGATCACCCTTCACAGTTCGACACACCTCGGTTCCTGTCCAACCAGGCAGCAGCAGTCGGCGAGGCGTGGAGTGCGGCACTCTTCCTTCGTCCCAGCAAGGTGCATCTTTAACTTAACCAGCTATCAATCAAAAGCAGTGGACTTGTTTTTTTCTCTCCCTTTTCTGTTTTTTTTTTCGTTTTCTTGGAGCTCATGATTTTGCTTGGCCAGCAACCAACCAAGGTCAACTCTGCATGCAATGTTGACCTGTTAGACTCTGCACGCATTGAGAATGGTTCTTTTACCCTTGCTGACTACAGTCTCTGTCGCAAAGCTCCATGTCAACTGTGCCCTTTGCCTGTTCCCTCTTCCTGTGCCCTGTGCCTCCCCTTTCTACCCATGCCTTTCGACCCCTCGCCCCTGTCTCCCCCCCCCCCTTCCCTTCCCCCACAACACCAGATCAACCACCTGCTGCCCTTGTTCCTCCATCCAGTGTCACGCCTCGTTGTAAGAACAGCACAGCAGCAGCACATACTCCTCTCCGCCCCCGACCCCACCATTCGCCAGCTCGCCTCCCGCCTCTCCTCCCTCCTCTCCGCCCTCCTCCTCCCCCACTCACACCCCTTCCTCTCTCTGCCAACCAATGGAAATAAGCCAAGTCACATTCAAACAGCGCTCGCGTCTGATTGGTCCATCGATTTCACCCTGGCAGGGGTGGCCCGAACCAGAGAGATCGTCCAGCACCGACTTGCCATTGCTGAGCTGCAGGTTCGGCAGCTTCTAGACTCCCTGGAGCCCCAGTCTAGTGCAGAAGCGAGGCTCGGATGGCTGATGTGGGTGATAGAGTGGAGGTGCAGAGACAGTTAGGTTGGGACAACAGTTGCTGCCTGGCAGGGGCTGTAGCGGATGTGGGGAATGGATCAGTTGTAGCAGCAGCAGAAAGAGCAGGAATGGGAGCAGCAGTGACAGTAACAGGCATGGGTCATCTGTAGCAGATGTAGCTTCAGGCGGTTTGCTAGCTGCAGAAGCAGTAGCAGAAGCATCAGCAGAAGCGGGAGCAATAGTAGCACCACCGCTGCCACCACTGCGCCCCCCTCCTGGTGTTGTCAGGCCTGCACCACCCACAGAGAAATCGCGGGACAAGCATTGGGGAGGGAGGAAGAGGAGCAGGAAGAGGGCACGGGGGAAAGGAGCAGGGAAGAGGGCATGGGGAAAGGAGCAGGGAAGTGGGCATGTGGGAGAGGAGCAGGGAAGAGGGCACGGGGGAAAGGAGCAAGGGAAGAGGGCATGGGGGAAAGGAGCAGGGAAGTGGGCATGTGGGAGAGGAGCAGGGAAGGGAGCAGATCTGCTCTGGCTGTGGCTGGTCGCATGACCCCTCCTGGCACGTGCCTGGTGATGACGTGGCCGCAGATGATTGGCCCTGGAAGGGCACTCATCCCCCTCCTCTTTCCAATCTGCTTGTCTCCCCCAACCGCACCACACCCAGCCATACTGCACCGAATCCCACCGGCCTCAGCCCCACGTTGCGGCAGGCATGGGTGGAGTGCGGTGCCATGCTGCAGCTCACTGACCCCCGCTCTGGCCCCGCCTTCCCCTGGACGTGGATGGCCTGTAAACGAGGATGCTTGTAGCGGGGATGGATCTGGCGGGGGTGCGATTCATGGTGCTAGTGGCATCTCATGGCATGCATTGCTCCAGCATCCACGGAGGCATGGGGGGGGTGCTGCTGAAAGTGCACAGGAGACAGGAAAGGAGGGTGTTGGTCAGAGAGAAACAAAGGAGGAATTCAGGGAGCAAAGGAGGGACCAAAGGAGGGAGCAAAGGAGGAAAGGAAGGAGGGCTCAAGAAAGGGAGCGGCAGGTAGTGGGGGGCGAAAGCAGAAGGGCGTTGAGGATGAGAGTGGAAAGCACAGCATGAAGCAGAGTGGGAGGCAGACTGGGAAACAGGGTGGAAGGCAGACAGGGAAGCAGGGTGGGAGGCCGGGTGGGCAGCAGAGTGGGGAGGATCTGGGTGGAAGGCAGGGTGGGCGTAGAGGGGCAGCAGGGAGGGGAGGGGGTCCATGTGACGAATGAGGAGAGGCGGCTGGTTGGCATGGCCGTCACAGACATGGATGGGAGCTTCGATGATGCCGTCCATGCCCACCTGCTGCTGCCCATCCGTGCAAGGTACAGTAGACTTCCCAACCAAGGGTAGAACCATGGCAGGTGTCCACTTTTGTCCTGCAACCACCAGTGTTTGCTGCAATTGCTGTGGTGCAGGCAAGCCGGCATTGAACCATTCTCTCGCTTGCCCTCCGCTCTTTCCCCTCGTTCCCCTTCTTATCACCTCCCCCTCGACCACGCCTCCCCTCCCCCCCCACACCAGTCACGCACTGGTGAGCAGGGCAGCAGTGCAGGTGCTGTTCACAATGGGGCGCTACCCGCGACCACTGCACCGCACTACACTGCCTCTTCCTCTCTCCCCACTCCGCCCTGCCCTCCGCCCTCCTGCACGCCCTCCATGCCATGGTGAGTGCCGCATGCCACAGCAGCATCACGATTTTTTAGGCACCTAAAATGTTTACGCCGTGGTGAGTACCGCATGCCACAGCAGCACCACGCCCTCTTCTGCCCTTCAATGCTGCCAGATTCAACATGCTTGCTTCTTCTTTCGTCCCCTCTACACCCTCTCCTATCCCCTCACCCCTCTCCCCTCTCCGCTCCCCCTATTCCCTCTCCCGTGCCCTCTCCCCTCATCCCCTTCCCCGCCAGGACTGGGCCAGCCTTCGCTCGCTACCAGAGCAGCAGCAACGCGCTCTCATCCGCCCTGGACACGGCCATCTCGCGAGCCTGCCTCTCCTCCCTCCCCCTCCTCCTCCCTCTCCCGCCTCCACACATTCATCTCGCCATCCTCCCTCTCCTCCATAACATCTCTGCCGCCTCACCCACATGTTACCAGGGTTGGGAGGGTTGCGAGGCCAGGGGGGAGGGGTAATGGGCAGTGCGAGAAAAGCAGCTGACGTGGAGCCCTTTGTCTGCTCATCGTGAGTGCCTGGGTTTCAATAACAGTAGGGGCACTTTCTCAACCGCACTGCATCCCTCCCCACACCCACCATCCGAATCTGGTATGTTACGTTCTGCGAGTCTAGTACGACACTCGCCTGAGCACTTCCTCAACCGCACTACATCTCTCTGCGCCCTTCCCCGCACCTCAATCAGGGCTGGGCGCGTTTGAAATTGTGCGGGCGGGGTACGACCCTGGCTGGCCTGCCAGCGTGGTGATAAATAACGCCCCACCTGGAGCAGCCTTATAGAGACATAGACATGCTATCTGTACTGCAAATGTTTGGAAGAAAAAAAAAGCTCGACCGCACTGTGTCTCTCTCTGTTCTCCCGCACCCATCAGGGCTGGGCGCGTTTGACTTTGTGCGGGTGGGGTACGACCCTGGCTGGCCTGCCAGCGTGGTGATTCCCCCCCAGCTGGTGCAGCAGTATGCAGACGTGCTCACGGCGCTGATCCGGCTGCAGCACGTGCAAAGGGCCGTTGAAAATATCACGCTTCATGTCAAGGTAAGCAACTTGTGAGACGCCTTAATAGCCTTTTGAGATTCCCCAACAGCCTGCTAGCGTTGTGATAAAACCTAAGCTATTTATCAGGTCAGCCTGCAGAGCGTGCAGAGAGCTATTCAAATCCTTACCATTCACTTAAGGTAGGCCACTCTTGAGTCGCCTCGAATGCCTGCCAGCGTGGTGAGAAGGCCTAAGCTGGTGCAGCATTATGGAGACGCACTCACTGCGCTGCTCAGGCTGCAGCACGTGCAGAGGGCCATCAGCAGCCTCACCATTCACATCAAGGCAGGCACTGGTTTATGAATTTCGCATTGGCACCATGAGCACATGGCAGAGATGGCAACGGCAACATCAGTGTTCGTAACATGTCAATGCGCACCGCATGATACCGGTCGCTTCCCCTGATCTGACCCGACCCATCATGTGTTCTTTTCCCCGTCAGCCATTCTACGCGGGAGCATACCCTTGTGCTCCATAGCATACAAATTCATGCTGCATCATGCCGTGTCATTTCCGCGTCTTGCTATTCCTATTGATACCCCTGCTTCCTGTCAGGTCCTCCGTTCAGCTTTGCTGAACCCGTCGCTAGCACCAGCAGCAGAAGCAGCAGCAGCAGGCACGGCAGTGCACAGGGAGCGGTATCGGCGGCTGTGCTTCCTCAACGTGTTCACGTGAGAGCCCCTCCCTCGCCTGCTGTATCTGAGCTGCTGTGTAACCGCAGCGTGCGTGCATTGCAGCTGGTTTTGGGGCATTCTGGAGGGCAGCCACACCCTTCCCGCCACTCACCGCTCCCTGTGTTCGCCCTCCTGCTCTCTTCCCCTCCTTCCCCCCTCCCAGCGTGCGTGCAGCACAGCTAGTGTCCTGCATGCTCGCCTTCATGAGCGCTCAGCTGCAGCGAGCAGCGCAGCATGGGGACCAGATACTGCTGCTGGGCACTCAGGCAGAACACATGCCCTATCTGGTGGGTCTGGGTATTCCATTGGTATAATATTGAGCAGCTTCAAACATAGATTCTCGCTCAATGACTGCTAAGATGCAGCAAGCAGCGCAGCAGGGCGACCAGATGCTGCTGCTGGGCACTCACGACTCCTCAACACACAAACCCCACTTGGTGGGTCTGGGACTTACATGGTTGTGTTTCTCAGGTTTATCGGGGAAAACACAAGCACCCAAGGGTGGGTGTGAGCCTCAACTGGGGCGATTCTCATGCACTCTGAGAGTTCGGCTTGGCATTTTGGGCTAGATCGTGCCCGATTGGATCCATTATGTGCCCCTTGCTTTTCACCTTTCATCTATCTGTAATCCTGTCCTTTGCCCTTCCCTTGTTCCTCCTTCACTTGTGCCACCTCACAGGACCTATTCTCATTCCAGGAGGCGCATGCACAGTTTCTGCTTTACTGCACAACCAGGTCCTTTCTCCTCCCTCGTTCCCCATTCCCATTTCACCTTCGTTATTATGACATACAGATGCATTTTTTAATCTATAACTTCATATCATCGTGCTTCCTGTATGCCATGGCAGGTGTTTGTTGGATGCTCGCAGTGCTGCCATCAGGGAGCGACTAGACAGCCTGCTGCAGCTGGTGCTGGATGTGCATCGCAGCGTTGACTCTGCTCGCATGGTCGCTCCTCTCTCTGAGTTTTTTCTCGACGACGATGCTCCCATCTGGGAGGAGGTGAGGGGTGTAGTAACTCGAGTGCTTATGTCGTGTTATCGTGGTATATGTCAAACAAAACTATTGTACACCTCTGCTCAAGCCACCCCGCTCCCTGTGTTCATCCCCCGTGATGATGCTCCATCTGGAAGGAGGTGAGGGATGTAGCACCAAGTTGTACTCAAATCTGTGCTAGTACCGGTATGTTGTTAATTTGCATGTGATCGTTCTCATTCTCACAAATTCTGCTTGCTTGTGCTCGTGATGAGTGTGGGCAGGTGGGAAGCATGTATAGGAGTCCAACGAGCCCCTGGATTATTTGTTCGATTTTGTAGCTTGCGAACATGCTTGTTCTCACATGCCATGTCATGTTTGTGCTTGTGATGGGTGGAGTGCAGGTGGAGGAGCACGTGGGAGAGTTCAACGAGGCTCTGAATGAACGCTTAGTTTTGTTCTTGCAGTAAACGTTCTCAGTAATACACCTTTTTTCGCTTGTCTGTGCTTCGGATGGTGGGGGTGCAGGTGGAGGAGCACGTTGGAGAGTTCAACGAAGCACTCAATGACTTGCTGGATTTTCTCTCTCGCGCAAGCAGGAGGTTTCTCGCCCTGAAAAGCGCCTTCTCAAATACCTCGTCTTTCCTCAAAGTCAACTAAACCTGTCTTGTCTCGTGGCTACACTTTGCTGTGTACTTGAGGGTACATTCCGCTGTGGATTTATGTCACAATCGATATGTCTCAATCCACTTTCCGTCGAGCCGCGCCCAATTTTCCCGAATCTGCATGTCCCAATCGATCAATGTATTGCGACTCATCCGTGTGATGCGAAAATTATCAGCGACCCCTGCTGATTGGTCACCGTCCATCCTGGCCCACATTCCCGCCAAAAGCACAAACACCCCCGAACCCCGTCAACTGGGGGAAACACAAATCCCCTCGGCGCACTCCCCGAAGATACACAACATAGCCGCGCTGCCAATAATTGCGACATCTGGTACTATAGTGGTATGCACCAGACATAAGGAGCTAGTATAAACCACAAACACACGTACTGGAATTAACGGCTTGCGCGCACTGTCCACCAGACATGGCTGAGCCACGAACCATCCCATTCATCCTACGGCTCCTCGTCGCCTGGATAACCTACTACTACACAATCTTCCACGACAATGTCTCCAAGAGCTTCGTAGGCCTGATAGAGTCTGGCGTCTTCGAGGACGACGAAGAGCAGTCCTCGTCCTGCGGGAGCGATTACGGCGACAACCGCCGTCATAGAGCGCGGATACGAAAGCGGAAACACGCTCTGTGGGTTGAAGACCTGCAACACATGCGCGAGAACGACTTTCAGGATCTCTTCAGGATCAACCGTTCAATTCTGGAGCACATTGTGGCAGGGATGCAACACTACCTTGAGCCGATTGTGCAACGATCCATACTCACCATGTACACTGCAGTGCTGATCCCTATCAAATACCTGGCATCTGGAATATCGTACGTAGACATCTCGTACCTGTTCGGCATCTCCAAAACTCTCTGCCACGAGGTGGTCGACGTGTTCCTCTCGCACTTCCCCTCCGTCTTCAAGGCCGCCTGGGTGCGGTTCCCCACCCGTGAAGAGCTTCCAGAGATGGCGCGGGAGTTTGCAGCCGTCAAGGGTGTACCTGCTGTGGTGGGTGCTGTGGACGGCACTCACATACACATGAAGGGGATGGAGGGGCACAGGACAGAATACTGGACAACGAAATCCGCATATGCTGTACAACTCCAGGTCACATGTGACGCACGAGGGAGAATATGGGACTACCTTATCGGGTATCCCGGTAGCGCTCACGACATGCTTGTTTTCAAGGAGTCTGCATTACTTGAGCGGTTACAGAACGGGGACATAGCCCCATACCAGATCGTTGGCGATGCGGCCTACCCACTACGGGAGTACTGCCTAACACCCCTGCATGCCCCACGAGGAGAGGACCTCATGGACGACTGGGCACAAACTTTCAACTACTGCCAAAGCGCCACACGCATGGCCGTCGAGAGATGCATTGGCGCGTTCAAGGGGAGATGGCGCATCTTCGGCCAGCGCAACGACTGCAGGCTGTGGCGCTTACTCGCCGGGGCCAGCGTGTTGTATCATCCTGCACAACATGTGTGGAAGACATGCAGGATGTCAGGCGGCGCAACATGGCATGGGCGAACATACCACGCAACCGAGATCCGTGGTGACGCGGGGTGCTGTCGCGGCATTCAAATGGGAAACCGTGCGATCCCCCTACACAACAAGCACTCAGGGAAAGGCGAAAACGACTAGGGGAGGCGCTGCAGTCATCTTACGCTAATCGTCGGCGCCGCGAACCCATACTTCCACATCCTCATCCGCCGGCATAGCGGTGTCGCCGTCGCCCTCGTCCACACGCGTCCGTGCGGTTTCGGGAGCAGGCGCGGACTCCCCGCGTGGCGGCGGTGGAGAGAATTCATGGGGCGTGCGGTGCACATCCGGGGGAGCCGACTCTGTCATACGCTCACGGGCAAGTCTGAGATCTTGCGCCATCCATTCACGGACGAGGCCTTCGATGCGGTTCATAGCGTCGCCATGGCAGTCCTTGATGGTGGCAGATACGAGCATGGCCGCTTGCATGGTGGCCGTCTCATGCACCCGGGCACGCCTCGGTGTGGCAGGAGTCGTTGGCGGAGGAGCTGCGACATAGCAGGGACATTCGCATTAGTGTTAGCTCATAGAATAACCCGTTGTCGGTGTGCGTTGCATGCATGTTTTTTTTTTAATTAAAATGTTCAAGAAACAACGTGGACGAGAACCACAACGCGAGCGATAAATCTCCGGACTCACCAGTGAAACAAGGGGTTGACGTGCCTGGCTGGGACGATTGCGGAACCTCCATGCCTGCCGGGACGTTGACGTTATTCGCGCCACCTCCGTCCACGGCATGAGGTGCGGCTGCGGCGGTGTCCTGGTTGTGCAGGTCAACGTACGGGTACCAAGGTGGTTTCTCCACGGAGCCGTTGCCCGACCCCTCGTCGGCCTTCTTATACTCACGCCATAGCACTATTAGGTTACGCCACTGTTTCTGGAGCGCGTTGACACCCCGGATCCATCCGGGGTTCGACTCCTTGATATGTGCGAGTAGCCGCGCCCAGTACTGGGTACCCCTGTTTCCCCTTGAGGGGCTCGAGCTCCTCCTTGAGAAACCACTTTGCCGCAGCGAAGATGGTGCTCTCCTTGTCAGACCATAAACCGCGCTCGACAGGTGCAGCAGCCCGTTTCTTACGCGGCTCCGGGCGCGCTGCAGGTTGCGCCGCCTTGCCTTTGCCCTTATCAGACGCGGCCTTGCGTGCGGTTTTCCGTTTCGGCGGCGGGGCTCGCGGCTGTGCTTCCTCGGTGTCGTCGTCCTCGGTGTCATCGGCGTCCTCCTCGTCGTCGTCGTCGCTGGGCGACATTCCCTGGTCCTTAGGTTCGTCGTCCTCGTCGTCGGAGGCAAAGTCGTCGTCGCCTTCGTCGTCGTCGTCATCTGCTACGTGTTCCTCCACGGCGGGCCGGTGTGTTGCCGCCGTCCTGGTAGGCTGACGACGCATACGCGACGGCCCAGCCGTAGGCGACGGTGCAGTAGACCCCTGGCCGTCAAGAACGGGTGGCGCGGACAAGCCCCTGGGGTGACGGCCGTTGGCGATTTGCTGGTTCATCCAACGGATGTTCGGGATTTCGTTTAAGTCCTTGGGGCAGTCATTAAGAGCATGCCCCTTGCGCTTACGAGCCATGCTTGCGGTGGGCTCGCTTTCAGATCTGGATCTAGAGCTAATCGCGATGGTTGAAGATGATAGAGCACAATTTCACACACGGAGCACAACGTTGACTGGTTTGAGAGAAGGAGTTGTTGCGGAGGTGCACGGGGACGGGGTGAGGGCACATTGGCGGGGCTGTGCGCGTCCCTGTCAATAATTCTGCGCGGTTCGTTTCCTCCAATGAGGGTGCTCCGAACGCGTTTGGGGGGAAACTGGGTGTTGCAAAATGTGGTCCAGATACATTATGCATGGGATGACATTTGGGGCCGCGTGCGATTGCTGGGTAGTGTTGCAATTAGCTGGCGACAGTTCCGAGAATCACGCCACCCAATGATAATTACAGTCGGCGACCTTCACGAGCGCTACGGCATTCCGACACCTGGCAGCTTATGCTGGCCGTACGCGTCCCAATCGATTGAGACACATCGATTGGGACATATTCTACAGCGGAATGTACCCTGATTATGTATGTATGCCTCAAGCTTTCTTGTAGTGTATATTCTTTGTAAAGAAGTTTGACTCCGAGTTGCGCGTGCGTGTCTGAGCTCAAATTTCTCCAGCTCTTTTTGCCCGAGGCTTCCTCATTTGCCTGATGGCTTCAGCAGGAACGCCATTAGTTCAGTCGGGCCCATTGTGCGTGACCTAAGTTCCTCTGACGCTTGGTTACATCCCCCTTCGTCCTCACTCAACCATTCATCCGTATTCGCGGTTGAACGTTGCGGCGAAACTCAACAATGGCAAGCGACAACTGTGGCAGTAGCGTTAGCACCAGCAGCAGCGTCAGCACTAGACGAACGCGAGTGCAGCAGCTCGAGCGACTTCAGGTGTGCGGAACATTACACGGTTGCACCATCACTCCCGTCATCACTTCCGACTCAATCCGTTTCCTCAAGTCCTGATGCTCTCGTTTAGAATTCCGCGTTTTCACGTTACTCGTTGCCACGTAGCGGGCCCATTCCCCCCTCGTCGCGTCCATCGAGGCGCCTCGATGGTACGTCGTTCGAAGCTCAAATGATTCGATCTCGTTGTCGCCGTCAATCCCTCCCGCCTACTAGGAGCTGTCGCAGCTGCGGAGGAACCTCTCTGGAGCCAAGGGTGTCAGCTCGAATCCCAGCGATCAACCTGCACACTCGGCAATCCCAAGGGCGTCTACAGACTCGGCAATCCCGAGGATGCCTGCACACTCTGCAATCTCAAGGACGTCTACAGGCTCGGAAGCGAGGGAGGGCATGAGGCGGCGAATCCAGCTGGCTCAGCCATGCGGGGAGGCAGGGGCGGAGGGCAGAGGTGGGGAAGGTAGAGAGGGGGGAAGGTTACAGAGGCAGAAGCGGGTCTGATGCACAGCCCGGGAGACAAGGGGTTTGCGCAGAGCCTGGGGGGGTTGGTAGGGCTGGGTTTGGAAACACAGTGCCAGCACGGGAGGAGGCAGAATTAAGGTGCGGGAGTGGTGCAGAACGGTGCAACGAGGCGCAGAGAGTGGGGCTGCGTCTGCAAGGGGAGCATGCAGTGAGAGGCGGACGAGGGGGAGGTCGGCCGTTGATGGCGGCGGTACCTTGGACGAGCCGGCAAAGCACAGGCAGAAGAACAGGCACAAGCACAAGCATGGACATGAGCGTGGGGATCAGCATGCACATGAGCATGGGGCGGTTCCAAGGCACCCCTCACGGCACATTGGGGAGGGAGGTAAGCAGTTGTGAGGCGTCCTTTGAATCGTCTCAAAAGTTGGCATAGGGTCAGCCCGTGATCGTTGGTTGTGGGTGGTTTGTTCGTGCGGTTTGTTCCGTTTATGTTGGGTTGTGTACATGTGCTGGTGCTCATGTGCCCTCATGCTTGCACCTTCTCTCCCTGTCACATGCTGCCCATCTTCTCATACTCCCGCCTTCTGTGTGCTCCCCATGCTCCTCATGCTTGTCACATGCGTTTATATGATCCCTATACCCCCCACATGCTCCCACGTGCTTCCCAGACAAAGCTGCTTACCCCACAAGCTAGACCGGTTGGATATGGCTCTACGGTCTAGTGACCATGCATCTTATGCTCACGTACTCCTCACGTGCTTCCCACACAAAGCTTGATCGCAGGTTCGGGCCGGCATTACAGCACGGCTACCATGCTCCTTACGCTCGTCTCCCCGCGTGCTCCCCATGTGCTCCGCATGTGCTCCCCACGTGCGTCCCAGACAGAGCTGGACCGCAGGTTGGAGGCAGCCCTACGGTCCGGTGACCACACAGCAGCGCTGCGGGTGAACGAGGCGATTATCAGAAGGGAGAGCGCGCGCCGGCAGAGACAGGCAGAATGGCACATGCAGCTTGCAGCGAGCTTGCAGGTGAGCAGACGGGCAGAGTGAGTGGCACGTGCAGCTTGTGGCTGTTCAAGGATTGCTGCAAAAGTAGCTTCAACGTTTCTGAACAGGGTCTTTCCTCAATAAACCTGCACCCTTTGCATTGCCACAGGAGCAGGAATCGGCGCGGCGCAAGAAACGGCAGCGGCTGAATTGGGGGTGAGATATTCTTTCATTTTAGCTTGTCATGTAAAAGCTTTTTGCTTTAAGAAGCAGTTTACTTCATGCTTCTCTGTGCTTGTTTGTGGGCTAACCGAGTGGTGCTTGTGCAGGATGGATGTGCTGCGCAAGTCAGAAGGGAAGGGCAACATGTGAGATATTTTGGTACTTGTAGGGTACACATTGTATATGATAGCCATTGTAACATGTCTGGTACCGTATGGAAGTTTGTCAGGCCAATTATTAAAGTATAAATATGTCACTGCACAAAGCGAAGCTTTCCGCGACGGGTGTGGTGTTTTTTCACGTCCGAGGAATCGAAATGTAGCCAGGAGAAAGTGCCCCATATGTAGACGGTTGCGATGAATCCAAAGGAACTTGATCGGCAGTTGAAAGCCTACGCGGTTCGGCCAAATGGTGGGAGTGAAATTGGCGCTTCGAGAATTCTACAATCCAATTTTCAGCCTGAAAGTTTGACCAACCAGTACCAGCAATGGATTTCATGTCCAGCAACCCCTAATTGCCAACGTTCCATTCCATGTTTGCTTCACACATGTGTGCGATGGGCATGATACTTTGCTTTACTTTACCGCCGCGTTGACCGCCTATCTACCATATCTTGGCGGCCTTCTCTCTCGTGGAGATACGCTCCTCTTTCTCGCATCCCTCGACAGTTAACGTCCATCTAAAAAGGCTTTGAAACTGCAACCGTGAAATGGACACGCTCTCAGCGACAAGACTCAGTTGTCCAAAATCGACGAGAAGCTTTATCAATCCTTCCCAGGTCACAGCGGCGCAGGTTAAATCATGCAGATCGATCCAGAGAGCCAATTATAAGCTTACCAAGTGTGGGACACCCCAATGGCGGTGCCGCGTATGTCACGGAAGCGTTGACTGTAGGTCCTCTGTTGCAAGAGCAGACAGGTCCACCGGCGTGACCGCCGCGACAGTGGTGGCGGCACGGGCGAGGTTATTTGGGGAGCGCTTTCGATCTCCTGGTAGCGCATCGTCGGTGTGGCGGTCCGCCGCGCTGCGCGGGCATACGACGCGGCGCGAGCGAGGCGGTAGAGGGCCGCGCGGAGTTACAGTGACGGCCACGTGTAAGCCTCTCGATGGGCGGGAAAGGGGAAACTTCCCGGGGGGAGGACGACCGGCGACGGGAAGAAGTTTTGGGGAGGAATGTGAGGTGGTAAGATGAGCACAACGGAGGGATACACCGGAGGGACATAGGCCTTTGCGTACTTCTCGCTCTTCGCCCCCTGAGAGACACAGCGTCGTCCGCGCCTTCACGGAGTTGACTTTTGAGTCGACTCAAAAGTCAACTCGTCCGCGCCTTCACGGAGTTGACTTTTGAGTCCGCGCCTTCACGGAGTCAACTCGTCCGCGCCTTCACGGAGCTCGCACCCTCCATCCAATATCCCGTCCCCATCTCCCCACCTTCTCCCCTTTTCCCCCGCCTCTCCCGCCTCAACCCCATTCCACTTTCCTCCCCTTCCCCCACCTTCTTCCCCCACCCCCCCCCCCTCTCCCCGCGCTCCGCCTTCCCCCGACCTCCAGGGGACGTGGTGAGTTGCGGCGTGGACCGCGCGTTCACGGAGCTGGCGGAGTTGGATAAGTCGCCCGGGAGCGACGGGCGGCAGGTGATCAACGTGCCCGAGCTCTACACCGGCATCCTCATTGTCTACGAGTGAGTGCTCATCGCGTTAAGTGGTCCTTGTTCTGTATGAGTGGGTGCTATTGCGTACGAGTGAGTACTACTTGCGTACGAGTGAGTGCCTGTAGTGCATTACACCCAGCACCCAATCAAGCACAGTTCAAACATCAAACGTTACATCTCCTTCCACTTCAACCCCTCTTCCCTCCTGTTCGCGCGCCCTGCAGCAAAGTGAACCAGCTGGTGCCGGGGATGCACATCAAACCGCCCTCCAAGAAGCAAGTTCTTCAGCTCGTGCAGGTACGTCATTTGAGGCGCCTCAAAAGACATTAAACCACCCTCCAAGAAGCCAGTCCTTCACCTTGTGCAAGTACGTCGACTTCATGCATTGTGCACAATGTGTACTACACATAGGAATACTCGTTTTGAGGTGCCTCAAAACAAGTTTTTCAGCTCGTGCAAGTACTTCAACTTCATGCATTGTGCACGAGGTGTACTTTGCTTGTAGTGGATCATATTGTATCCATTCCATTTTGAAAGTCACCATTTTTGTGCACTCCATCTGCCCTGCCAAGCTTGTCGTTTACCTCTTTCGCTCTCGTCCCACCTTTTTTCGCCATCAACTCCGCTCAGAGGATGCCAACATGTCGCATGTCATGTTGCACACTTCATTCACACCCTACTAATCCGTCTCTTTTCTCCACTCGCATGTGCTCCGTGGCGGCAGGATTACGACATCAACCACGACGGCGTGTTGGACAGGGAGGAGTTTGGCAAGCTCGTGCGACACTTCGCACGCACTGTCGTGGCGCGAGTGCTGATCAACGTCCTTCTCATCTTCTCTCTCGTTCCCTTGGTGGTGTCGATTGCTAGCAACCTGGCGGAAACGTTTGGATGGGAACTACCTGAAGCGATCGCTGCAACTGTGCTCACGTTGCTCGTAAAAATGGTTGGAGTGTGATTCTTAGTGTCTTTCTGTTGGCAACAGTTCCAAGTGCTATCGCTGTACAGAAGAGTAATCCAGGTTAACAGCTGTGTATGGTAGGGAATCCAGGGAGAATGTAGTGAACTGGGGGGATCTTAGCTAGAACTTGGATCCCCACAGCTCCCAGTCCCCGTAGCAGCACCAGTAACACTAGCGGCATCGTCAGGACTAAGCACTGCCAGCAGCGGCACCATTATGAGGAGCAGCAGTAGCAACCGGGGCAGGCAGTGAGGCACCAAGCACGTGCTACAGCAGCCCAACCCTCTCGACTATGGGCTGGGCGGCAGGGAGAAAAGGCCTGAGCAGACGACCAAGAGCAACGGTATGGATCTCCCGTTGCCCTCATCGATGCTATACTCTTCCTCCAACCTCCCCCATCCTCACCCCGTTCTGGTACCCCACCCAACACCTCCTCCTGCTTCCCCTCATCCAGCTAGCTGTCCTCCTCCCACCTGCTCTCCACCTGATGCGTTATCCGCCTCCTCCCCTCAACATAAGTCCACGAAACACCCCCCTCTTCTTCATGCCACTCTCCCCAAGACCCTTACATAGTCCACTCCACCCTCCGCCGTGTACAACCTTTGCGTAACCCCCACACTAGTGGCAAGTAGAAACGAACGGCAAAAGCGACAATTCGTAAGCAAGAGAAACAAATCCTTGTCATCTGTCCTCATATGGAGGCAACATCCATAGCAGTTGAATATGCAGTTTCTGATAGTCTTTTGGTTTTTATGTGTGTACTATATTGATATTGATCAGCATTCTAGGTGCTATCTTGTATATTTGAAAATGTGGGAGAAAAAACCTTGGGGTACACGTAAGTCACTGACACGAAGTAGAACATCTCACGACGGGGATCATGTGATTTCACATCCGACGAATCTACGTCAACGGACAAGAAAGTGCCCCATTTCTGGACGGCTGGGATTAACCATTATTGAGCGCTCCGAGTTTTCCCAAGCTGCTCGAGGGTGGCTGGACAAACATTTTGCATGTCCAGCTGGCAACACGTACATTGCCAAGCCAACATTGCCTCGAGCACTTCCGTAAGTGGTGATTCTTTTCTGCTTCACACTTGCGCCGCGTTGACCTATATCTATTACCTATCGGCCTTATCTCTCGCGGGTGTAAGCTCCACTCCCGCATCTTTCGACGGTTTACGAAAGTAATTAGAAGGCTCCGAAACTGCAATCGTGACATGGACACGCTTTCAGCGACGAGGCTCAAATCGCCAAGATCGACGAGCAGTCGGGTCGCCGCGGCTCAGGTTAAACCGTGCGAATTAAGCCAGAGGGTCGTTCTTACTAAGTGGGGTACACCCCACTGGCGGTGCCGCGTAACCCACGCAGGCGTTAGCTGTAGGTCCATAGGGGCACTGGGCGGGTCTACCGCCGTGACCGCCGGGAACGTGGCGGAAGCAGGGGAAGGGCTATTTTGGGAGCGCTGTTGGGCTTCTGGGAGCGCTTTGTCGTCACGAAGGTCCGCCGCCCTGCGCGGGCACTCGACGCGGCGCGAGGGAGGCGGTAGAGTGGCGCGCGGAGTTAGAGTGATGGCCACGTGTAAGCGGGGGGTGGAGGGGAGGTTGAGAGGTGGAACGGCAAGGGGCGATGGGGGGAGCGAGAGGAGGAATGTGTGGGGGTTGTGGGCTGTAGAGCCGCGGGGAAACAGGGCGGGTATGGAGATCCTATGTGCAGTTGTCGCTCTTCGCCCCGTCTCGATACAACGGGAAAACGGCGAGTCGCAGCGTCAACCGGGCATTTCAGGATTTTCCCTTCCCACAATAGCGCGCACATCCATAACTCTCCCCCCTCTCTCCACACTCTCTCTGCCCCCCCCGCCCCCACATCCTCCCCCGCGCCCGCCCCGCGCGATCCCCCGGATAATCCCAGGGGACGTGGTGAGTCGCGGCGTGGACCGCGCGTTCACGGAGCTTTCGGAGCTGGACGAGACGCCGGGGAGCGACGGGCGGCAGGTGATCAACGTTCCCGAACTCTACACCGGCATTCTCATTGTATACGAGTGAGTGCTGATTTGCGTTCGAGTGAGTGTTGCTGGAGTACAAGTGTGCACTGGAGTACGAGTGCTGCCTGGAGTGCTCGAGCTGGTTGTACTCTCCCAGCTTCAACCATTACATCTCTCCTCCCTGTTCGCCACCTGGCCATGCAAACGTTACATCTCCCACAGCAACGTGAATTCGCTCGTGCCCGGGATGCACATCAGCCCGCCTTCCAAGAAGCAAGTTGTCCAGCTTGTACAGGTACTTCTGTTTTGTACATGATATGAGGATCTCATTATATCTTGTCCATATTAAGGCACTGACAAAATCTTCTCGTCTACCACTTCCCTCTCGTCCCATCGCACCCATTCTCGTCGTAATTCCCGTTCACAATACCTCCATCACGCGCTTTTGAGAGGACTTAGAAGCTGTTTTGCTTTCCCTCTGACGCCTGCTCTCTTCAGGATTACGACATAAACCACGACGGCGTGTTGGACAGGAAGGAGTTCGGCGAGCTCGTGCGACACTTCGCACGCACCGTCGTGGCGAGAGTGGTGCTCAACCTCGTTGTCATCTTCTCGCTAGTGCCTTTGCTCGTGTCGCTCGCTAAAAAGCTCGCGCATAAGGTTGGGTGGAAACTACCAGAAGCAATTGCAGCAACTCTGTTCACGTTGCTGATTAAAATGACAGGAGTGTGATGTTATGTTTACAGCAAGCCATATGCGTGTGCTGTATATAGAAGCGATGAACTATTTAGTACTTGTGCTGGCTAGTGCTGAGGTCAGAATGGCATGATGTTTAGAGATGCCTCGACAGATGATTACAACATGCAGCATAGCCTACCACAGATAGCATGCTTTCTAAATCTCCTGTACCTACATACCCTGTACTTATTGACCGTTGAGAGGACGGACCATGCTATTTTTCTACTGGTACTTATCTACACATCCGCAGCTCCCAGTCTGCACAGCACCACCTCCAGCAGCACCACCTGCACAAGACGTACCAGCAGCAGCATCAGCAGCATCAGCAGCATCAGGGAGGTGACCAGGGAGGAAGGGCATGAAGAGGCCACCCAGGGCGTATGACACGGAAGCAGCGTCACCCGCTGCTGCCAGCGGCGCTTCAAGCACTGCTGCTGCCAGCGGCGCTTCACGTGCAGCTGCTGCAGAGAATGCACCCACTCCCTGTTGGGCTAGGGGCAGCGGGTCAATCTTTCTTCGGGCCGTTGGAGCTGCTGTCCCTGAAACCTCCCCCCACTCCAGTCCACCTTCCGTCTCATTTGAATCCACAAGCGCTCTTTTTTTGCTCCACCCCTGCGCTCCATCACTCTCCATCACGCCGTGTGGACCACCCATGCCGCTCAAGCCACTCCAGCCGCTCAAGACACGTACGCCACTTACGCCACTATCCCTGTGACTCCCCTGGTCTTCTTCGATGTTGTGAATGCGCGCTCCTCTCTCCGACCCCTCCTCTTCCTCCCCTCTACCCGAACCGTCGTCCTCTCTTCCTTCCGAGTCACCTCTGTCACCTTCTGTTTCCGCACAGTCATGATCCGTCTCACTTGTAACATAGCGAAAACCGGCGACAGCAGCCATCTGTTCGCGCAGCAGAAGAATCTCCTCTCCTTGCCTCTCCACCTCGGCCCTTAAGCCCTCTACCTCCTCCTCCTCGTACCGCGCTTTCTCGACTAATATTCTCTCTCTCTGCCGGGCCGCTAACTGGTCGGCAGCTTTATCGTCTTGCAACCGTCGGATCGATTCCATGCTCGCCATCGCAGCGCTGTCCGCAGCCGCTCGCTCCTGCTCCAGTTCCCGTCGCAGACTGTCGCTAAGCACCCACTCTTGCTCCAGCTCTTGTCGCAGAGAGTCGCACGTCGCTCGCGCTTGCTGGAGCTCGTGTAGCAGGGCGTCGTTTTCTTGCGCGTGCAGCTCGCCAGACGTACCCGCTCCGATAGTCCTGTTCCGCCCTTCGCCTCCTATTCTTGTTACAAGGTCCTCTTCGCCCTCTGCAGTGGCGAGCTTCGCAACAGCCCTCGCCTCCTCAACCCATCGCCTCATGTTCTCCTCGTCCCATAACCTACCGGGAGAAGATTTATCGCCTAGCGACGACGACGACAGCCTGAGTTGATCCCATGGCGACCACTCGTCGCAACCCACTTTCTCACCGCCCTCGCAACTCCATGTATAAGCCGCATTCTCCGTGTACTCCTCCCTGTGATCCAGATCCCGAGCCTTACCGTAGAACTCAATATCGCGTACAGTAGCCGAGAGCCAGGTCTCGACGAGGCACACGAATCGCACGATTCTCTGTACGATGCGGAGCGGCGGCAAGAGAAACGTCAAGGCGAGTCTGCAGGCGGCGAGAGCGACGAGGGCGCGAAAGAGGAGGAGGAGCGAGTTGAACACGTGGATGATCTGCGAGGACATGGAGAGAATCTCAGCCGCCGTACATCGCGCCGAACGAAGAAATGACGTCGACATTCGTCTATCTGTCGGGAAAGGTTTGAGTGAAAATTTATGCCGGTGCGCATTCTTGGTTGCAGCGTTGCTAGGGATGCCGTGTGCGATGGGCTTGCTGAAGATGATATTCCGCGTTGATATTCCGTCGCTCCGGGAGCTGCTTCTGCAGCTATATGCTAGATCGACCATAGGTTTCAACAAGCATGTGCGACGAGTAACTCGTGAGAGATGCTAAAACTCGCACCCATTTGGGAAAGGCGCTGTGCGTCCTATTTATTGAGAGTTTTGCACCCTTGTCAAGCTTGCTGGACCAGCGTCAGCAACGGGTGGCGATCAGTGCAGAACTGGGGGTTGGGGTGAACAGACTTTGGTGGGACAAGAAGAGGGGAGGTTGCATGGTCGTGGCCGTCGAAAGCGCCTCAGATGACAAATTGCTCAATTCGGGTTTGGAATGTGTGCGTGCATTGAGGGCGACGCGTGCGTGAAATGCAGAAGGTAAGCGGCGCGAGATACAAAGG